CAACATAGCAGACCGAGAATGGTCAAGATACAACATAGCAGACAGACAGTGGTCAAGATACAACATAGCAGACCGAGAATTGTCAGAATCCAATAAAGCTGTCCGTAAAACCATACATTTATCAATTTAGAATAGACAATTACAATGTACTATAATGATTTATATATAACTCGATTAATCAAATATGTTTTTTTAAAGAAACAGACTCAGAAAACTGTCTCAACTTACTTAACAATCATATATGTACATTTGTTGTAACAATCTGAATCTAGAAAGACCCAAATAAACGCATCATAGATACCAGGCTTAGAATTGTGTACGCCAGACGCGCTCTTCGTCTACAAAAGACTCATCGGTGACGCTCGAATCAAAAAAGTTAAGAAGGCCATATAAAAGACGAAGTAAAAGAGCATTGACGGAAGGTAAATTTCCACTGAATTATTTTACAACAAATCTTTATCTAAATTCTTTTAAGCCTTTAAAAACAATCACAGTATTACATAGATAAAAGAAGATGTGATATGAGTGCCAATGAGACAACTCTCCATCCAAGTCACAATTTATAAAAGTAAACCATTATAGGTCAAAGTACGGTCCTCAACACGGAGTCTTGGCTCACACCGCACAGCAAGCTATAAAGGGCCCCAAAAATTACGAGTGTAAAACCATTCAAACGGGAAAACCAACGGTCTAATCTATATAAAAAACGAGAAATGAGAAACACTTATGAACCACATCAACAAACGACAACTACTGAACATGTACAGATTCATGTGTTACGTTGAGGTTATATTTATTTTTTTGTCGTATAACTATTTAGATATGCATGTCTTTGCTAACTGCTTAAGTGAAGATAGCTAAGAAGTACACTTTTGATAGTTGTTTGAAAATTTTGAGTACTTGTTAACAAAAAACAATTATTCGGAACCAGAACAAACATCAGTTGTTTTCAATTTTTCAGTATTTGTTAAACACATACTATTCCGAACGAAACCCGATATTGAAGAGGACATATTGTATGGTTTTTTTCTCATTGATGAAGGCCATACGGTTGCCTATAATTGCTTACATCCACTTAACTTGAACCTTGGTGGATAGTTGTCTCATTGGCAATCATACCACATCTCCTTATTTTTATATGTATATGTACTTAACATACCTGTCTGTTGCAGTTACGATTAAAAGAAAATGTCGGGGTATATTACAATGAGACAGCAGTCCAGCGACATATAATTCCAACAGACATCTAAAAGTTCAGTCTTTAACCATAGAAAAGTGTCTATACAATATATCATGCTGTTAACCGCCCTGGGTTAAGAAAAGTTGTGAATACATTTTACAGAAACTATCAAAGATCAGTCATTGATACGGAGATACTTCTTGACGAAAATACTAACTAAAGACAATCACTGACGAGATTCCTTATTCAGGACAGACACATGATAATTTCGTTGAGTTAAATAATCTCATGAGATCTTAGATATCCTCTTTTCAATCTAGATCAGTGGAACAACAAAGGTACATAAATTCATTCTTTTTTCAATAAGTATATTATTTGTGACAAGATTTAGTTACTTTTTTGGCAAATTTATAATACATGTACTTGTATCCCTATTTTCAAAATTGAAATTTTGGGTGTTGCGTTACTGCAAACACATGTATATCTAATCTGATGTTAAGTGAACACTCTATAAGCAGGGGTCAACCGAATATCACCATTAAGTAAAATGTGTCTATTTTTCGTTTAAGGTTTATGACATGTAAATAATGCAATCAATTTAACTCTGTTATCTATGCATCTATGATATCTGTTGCATATATATCGACATCTTTTTACCAATTTTTATATGTGTAGAATTATTTTTACATGTCGTGTCACCGTTTTAACAATACATTATGTCAAGATTATGCGCCATGGTGTCATAGATTTGTCTCTCAGATAAGACACGAAATTGGTTAACACTTGCTGCTCGGTATTTTCGGTTTTAAGTACGAAATTTTAATTAACACATGTTCTGACTTGTAAAATTGTTTTGGTGTTACACTTTTATGTTTTAATTTGATTTCTACTTTAATCTTAATTTATATCAAATGAGTTTAACCTTTAGGGGTGACCTTGAATCCGATTTATGATTGTTTTTGTTTGTTTTTTTTTTTTTGCGAAATATTGTGTAAATATATTTAAAGTTTTATGTATCAGGGGATTGATTTTTGCAGTAGAATAAACAAAACGAACCTTTCTCATAAGCGTAAACAAATACGGTAGCTAACAATTTATATTATCTGTAAAATCTGTTCATTCAATGGTTCGTTTATTAGCCTTGCTAAATGCTAAAACAGAAGGCCAATTAATAGAATCAATTTGACTGCTTAAATGATAAAATGAAAAACATGTTGATGTTCCACCACTTGTCATGATTTATTTTGTGTACTGTAACAAGTTATCTTCTGATTTGATGCATGTTATTCTAAGCAATGGTTGCAGTTTTCTCAAGTACAGTTGACCTTACACCGTTTCAGACACCTTTGGCTCCCTCGTTCTATACATCTTTGCATTTCCTAATGTTAGCCTCAATGCGTTCCTAGTATTTTATACAAGCCTTACATTTCTAAAAAGGTACATATTCAATTTGATTACACTGATGAAATTAACTTAATCTTTTATAATCAAAAGTTAGTGATTCTCATACAACTTTCTGTTAGGGGCAGTTTTTTCTTTTCCCTGATAGTGATTTTCCGTTGATTACATAGTAATAAGTATACCTTTCTTATTCATTTCAAAATGCACATGATTACTATGACAACTCGTACTGTTGTTATAAAATACTTACATCTTAATCTTGTACTTTTTCATTCTCCTTTTCAATTAGTTTCGGTTTGCATTGAAACACTAACAAAACTATTTCATTCATTTCTTTTTCTGTATTGAATTTTTGTACACAAGTTTACTTTTGGCATTGTACGCAATCTTTTTTTCTGCACTGTTCAAGATATTGATGTTGGAAGTTTTGTTTGGAGTACATCAGCCGATATTAGAATGCGAGAAGGCATTTTTCATGTCAGCAGGTGAAGTATGTTTAGCTTGCTGTCAGAAATTATCGCGAATATTCTATGATACTGCATGATCCAGCTTTGTTTTACTTGTACCTGTGTTTTTGTCATCTAAGATATCATTAGTGCTTTTTCTAAACTGATTACAATGGAATGATTGATATAATAATAATAATAATAATAATAATAATAATAATAATAATAATGATAATGATAAATAAAAACCAATTGTTCAGAGAACAATTGAAGGATATCCACATCAATTTTCTAAATTATTGATGAGAAGCTACTTCCGGTTTACTCAAAGTTACTATTGGTGTCCAAGCAGAGGTTTCTTCATACTGATTCTCAATGAATAAATGTTGCTATATATTTTTACCTGAAATAAAGGAGATTATTGTTAACTTCCGGTTTAAAAAATGTCACTTCAGGTCTCACATGATAGCTTTATTTACACTGATTCCAAAAATATATGGTTTCTATATACTTTTCCCTGTAATAATGAAGATATTAGGTACTTCCGGTTTAGTAAAGGTCACTTCCTGTCTCAAATGGTAGGTTTATGTATGCATATTTAAAAAACATATTGTTTCTAGGTACTTTTCCATGAAATAAGTGCAAAGATGGCTACTTCCGGTTGACTCAAGGTCACTTTCGGTTGATATTTTTCATCGTCATATATCAACCAACAGTTTGCAAAAGACCCTATGGCTTTATCGTGTACCAAGTTGGAGAAATAATCAATTAACCTTAAATTGAATCATTTCAGGGACAATAACTCCTATAAGATGTCATTGGATTGTTTCAGACCAAATGTATCATATCTTCATCACAATGAGGCAAACATTTTGCTCTAGTTCTTTTAAATATATCTCTAAGATTGTCTGACGAGATCTCGGAACAATGCAAAATCAAAATTTAGAACATGACCTTGACCTTTGACCTTGACCTCAAATTTATTTTTATGAACCCAGGACCTCAAATACACGTACCTTAGGTCTGTATTACTTACCATTCATGTGATACATTGACAAGTCACTTATGTCAAATTCAAAAGGGGAAATAACTGTCATACGGAGTCTACGAATTGATTCGGTTAAAATTTGACAAATCATCCCGAGGATATAACGAGCAATTTAGTAAAATAAATGTGTCGCTTTCTTTTACGGTTACGGAGGAGATCTCACCACAAAGAAAACAGTGTTTGGGGAGATAACTCTTACAATAAAAAGTCTTCGACTAAACAGGGTCAGTCTCAAAAGCGCAATAACTGTTCGATATCATATGCCAAAAATCTAGGCGACATCTTGCGAAACCACAAAACAATTAAGTTTTGAAATTTGGCGGTAGAAGAAAAAAAATAATCAGAACAAATACAATAGGTCTTTCCACAAAATAGTGGAAAGACCTCATAATAATAAAAAGAAATTTAGATGATTAACTTTTGTTTAAACACTAGTCTATTTATTCAGAACGTTCCGAGCCGAAGAAGTTGGAAAGAAAAGCAAATATGATATTGAAAACTAAACACTAAAACAGTCTTTATCTATGCTATGAAATATGTATATATTTAAATACAGTAATTGTTTTATATGACAATTGGTTTCATCGAATGACCACACACACGACTTCAATCAAATACCCTCATGTATTGGAGATATTAACAAAAGCTTTTGATTCGATGTTGGAAAGTATGTATATTTATGCTACAATCAGCAATCTATAATGAGCAACGTTAAAATTGATTTAGCTACATCCTTGGTGATCTAACAATCAGTGGGAATAGTTTGATAATTTTGGAATTAAAAATATAATGATTATCAGAGTTTAAATCAAATTGATTCAGAAAAGTCACAGTGGAATAAAGAGTACATACGTTTGCTATACCTGATATAAGTTAAACAGATTAGTTCGGTTATGACCAGAAGGGTTTGAAGTTGATTCTATAGATGTAAACGACTGTCTCAATACATTATTTTTTTTTATTAACTACAAAGACAAACAAGTATTCCAAATTATTTTTGACAGTAGATTAAAATGTATGATTTATCAAAATGAATATTTGATGGGATTTATGATAAATACAAACTAATTTGAACGATGAAAGAAACTTTATCATAATATTGTAGTGATATTAACATAAATACTTATAAGAAGTGCTACTAGATGGATATATTTCTGTTAGAAATTTACCTGACTATGGTTAAAAAAAATAACACTGTAACTTTACCAAAATAATAGGCGCTTCAACAGTGATAACCCGCTAGTGGCATAGGCAAAAATGCCCAGTGAAGGAATTGTCTATAGATCTGGGAAAAAGAATCTCCAAAGGAAATCGTCAAAAATATCGTTGGCACAGCAAATTGCACAAAATAGAGCTCATGGTTTTTCTGTAAGTATGCATTATCAGATTTGGTAGCAGTCAAATGATACATGAGCTAAGCAATAAAAACAAGTCAACTAGAGCATTCAATCTTCCAAAAATTAAAATTCTGTTAACAAGTCTTGAAACAAGTGCAGAAATGTCATTTGTTAACTCACTTAGAATTATAAATATGTGTTAGTATTTAGGATGTCACCAGCCTAGAACTTCGGTACTGGCATAAACAAAACGGATACTGAATCCTTATCCTAGTTTGGCTATTGATTTGGTGCTGTTAAAAGGAAGGAATCTCCCTCAAGTATAGCTCTGATTGCTTATCCTGGTTTGGCTATTAATTTGGTGCTGTTAAAAGGAAGGAATCTCCCTCAAGTATAGCTCTGATTCCTTATCCTGGTTTGGCTATTGATTTGGTGCTGTTAAAAGGAAGGAATATCCCTCAAGTATAGCTCTGATTCCTGGTTTGGCTATTAATTTGGTGCTGTTAAAAGGAAAGAATCTCCCTCAAGTATAGCTCTAATTCCTTATCCTGGTTTGGCTATTAATTTGGTGCTGTTAAAAGGAAGGAATCTCCCTCAAGTATAGCTCTGATTCCTTATTCTGGTTTGGCTATTGATTTGGTGCTGTTAAAAGGAAGGAATCTCCCTCAAGTATAGCTCTGATTCCTAAATCTGGTTTGGCTATTAATTTGGTGCTGTTAAAAGGAAGGAACCTCCCTCAAGTATAGCCCTGAATCCTTATCCTGGTTTGGCTATTAATTTGGTGCTGTTAAAAGGAAGGAATCTCCCTCAAGTATAGCTCTGATTCCTGGTTTGGCTATTAATTTGGTGCTGTTAAAAGGAAGGAATCTCCCTCAAGTATAGCTCTGATTCCTGGTTTGGCTATTAATTTGGTGCTGTTAAAAGGAAGGAATCTCCCTCAAGTATAGCTCTGATTCCTGGTTTGGCTATTTATTTGGTGTTGTTAAAAGGAAGGAATCTCCCTCAAGTATAGCTCTGATTCCTTACCCTGGATTGGCTATTGATTTGGTGCTGTTAAAAGGAAGGAATCTCCCTCAAGTATAACTCTGATTCCTGGTTTGGCTATTAATTTGGTGCTGTTTTTGTTATATCAGCCTTTCAACGTTTGTATTAATTTTTGGATTTTATTTAATTTTTGCCTTCGAGCATCACCGAAGAGATATTATTTGTCGTGATGCGCATTTGGTGCTGTAAAATTTATTTCGTTTAATATAAAACTTATTTAAATCAACAAAAGGGCATTTTACATATGGTTTTCTTGGGGTTTTTAAATTTAAGCAACACCATTACCTAAAAAAACATCATATCGACATCTTCCTTCAATACATTGTGTGGCAAACTATCTTGTTTGTAAGTATGTTGCTCTTAATTATATATCTACGGTAAGCTTTAAAATTTATCAATTTTAGCAGGTTTTTTCCAGTCTTATTAGGGAGCTACCATTTGATTTTTAGGTGGGGGGGGGGGGGGGGGGGGGGGGGGGGGGGGCTAGGATAAAAAACATTTTTTTTTAGTTGTAATCTCTGTTCTGCCTTTTTATTTTTCACTCTATTCGGTCCTGCTTTTTTTATTAGTTTATCCTGATTTTTTTTACATAAATTGACATCCTGCCTTTTTTTTGCCAAGTTGCTCATCCTGCCTTTTTTTTTACTCAAAACTCCTGTCCTGTCGTTTTTTTCAAATTTCATCCCCCACCCATAAAAATCAAATGGTAGCTCCCTTACAGAGCTTATGTTCCCTAACAGATTTTCATTGATTGATAATTTTTAAGGCATAATGAATTTTTATATATCGGCTGGTGTATTTTCAGTTAGATTTTATAAAGCAGTTAACGTCATGAACAGTATAGGACACAGAGTAATATACAATGCAATGATAACTTTGTGTACAGTGTATATAAACCGTTTGTTATCACATTGGTCGTGTTTAACATTTTGATTGATTGATAGATTGATTGTTGGTTGCATAACGACCGACAATTTTTGTCATTCAAATTCAGAATGAGAACAAATTAACAAAATATCAGTTGGTATGATCCGAAATTGGATAGACAGACGAAGAAAATAAGGATAAATAAATCAAATACTACATCATCAACAAAGTTTTTAAACAAAGTTAACCAATATTTCATTTTTAAAAGGTAACATCTAGGAAATTATATAAATAACACATAGCTAAGAGGGTGATAGAGCAGATTGTTACCCCGAGAAAACATTGTCAACTGAGGCGAAGCCAAGGTTGACAATGTCTTTTCGAGGGGTAACAATCTGCTCTATCACCCCATCAGATATGTGTTATTTAATTTATTATACTGAATGTTCTGTTATTACTGTCTATTAAATTTTAAATACAAAGAAATAAACTGTGACGTCTTGTACATAACAACCATCCGTATTTAATAAAGCACACACTTGATAAAGCGTCTCCGTGAAGGGTAATAGAGTATTTACCATAGGATAGTATATAAATAACACATAGCTGAGAGGGTGATAGAGCAGATTGTTACCCCGAGAAAACATTGTCAACTGAGGCGAAGCCAATGGTGACAATGTCTAATCGAGGGGTAACAATCTGCTCTATCACCCTCTCAGATATTTGTTATTTAATTTATTATACTGAATGTTCTGTTATTACTGTCGATTAAATTTCAAATTCAAAGTAATAAACTATGACGTCTTGCACTATAACAACCATCCGTATTTAATAAAGCGCACACTTGATCAAGCGTCTCCGTGGAGGGTAATAGTATTTGCCATAGGATAGAGTCGTATTTAATAAAGCGCACACTTGATCAAGCGTCTCCGTGAAGGGTAATAGAATATTTACCATAGAATAGAGTAAATTGTCTCCCTCGTATTAACCAATCAAAATCTGGCATTTTGACATGAAGTATAATAAAGTAAATTGTCTCCCTCGTATTAACCAATCAAAATCTGGCATTTTGACATGAAGTATAATAAAAGTAAATTAAAATAGTCATGCTAATCGAAAAAGTAAAATTGTTCTGATTACGTTATTTTGTCATATGCCTCCCTTAAAAATGAAAACAATCGTTTAAGACAATTTGTTAAGAAACAAAATTATCTATAAATGTTCGAACCTTGCAGCAAATTTATCTTATAGCCTTCGTACATTGTATTTACAAGGATGTGCACAAGCGCTTATTTTTTTCGCTGGTACTGCTATATTTCCAATATGTCGTAGATCTAATGGGACTTTTCATCCGGGACTTTCCCTGTGGTAAGTATGACTTACGATGAACGGATTGAAAAAGTTTCGCCGGTCGACAATTCCCTTTTTTAACCCATTTTAAAGTAGGTAAAACCCGATTGCTTCTTGATCTTGATTTTTTTAAAGAAATGATGGGTTGCGATTAAGTTAAGTGGATTTGTATGTTAAATTTCCTATTCATTAATAGTTCTGTTTTTTTTACATGTAGCCCTGAGCTAAAATTTAAGCGAAAGAAATGTGTGCCTTCTTTGTTTTATGATTTCACAGTGATGTCAAGTTAATGTCAAATATTTCAATATGTTTGATAAGTGTTATCTAAATATTACTGTGGAGGAAACTGGTAACTAAAAATTGATTATTAGGTTTATGTATACTCTTCACATGCCTTTTGCTTTGTGCCGAGTATCAAATCCTGGGAATGTTTAAATTCACATCCTTAAATTCATTAGAAGCTGACAGATAAGAACAAATGGCAATTCTAATGAATTTCTTTTTAATCATAATGATAGATAATTATTCCCAAGGAGTATAGATGGAATATTTCCTGTTTACAGTAATTTCATTTTTAATATTTTATTGATTTCCGGGTGTTAAGGTTGCATTCAAAAGTGTAGATTACTTAGACTTCTAATGACTGTGTCGTGTTACGATGGTTGTGCATTTAAACATCTCACATTTGTAGAAAGTACTAAATCCTGGGAACACAAACAAATCGTTGTTCAGTTTGTATGACATTAAGGATTCCCTACGATTTATGATACACATTTGTCGTCATTTTACCTTGCAAAGAAACATATTTGTTATTCGAAATTTTTATTGACGACTAGCATATTATTATAGAACATTACTCCTTTAACTTAGTGTTAAAATTGAGAATGGAAATGGGGAATGTGTCAAAGAGACAACAACCCGACCACAGAACAGACAACAGCAGAAGGCCACCAACAGGTCTTCAATGCAGCGAGAAATTCCCGCACCCGGAGGCGTCCTTCAGCTGGCCCCTAAACAAATATATATACTAGTTCAGTGATAATGAACGCCATACTAAACTCCAAATTGTACACAAGAAACTAAAATTAAAAATAATACAAGACTGACAAAGGCTAGAGGCTCCTGACTTGGGACAGGCGCAAAAATGCGGCGGGGTTAAACATGTTTATGAGATCTCAACCCTCCCCCTATACCTCTAGCCAATGTAGAAAAGTAAACGTATGTTGTTTGTTTTGTTCATTTTGAGAACATTAGACTGCCGTATGGTACTCGGTGTTATAAGCCATTTGTTGAAATTTGTTTAGTATTTTACGTTTTGAATTCATGCTTTAAAGTTATTACAGCTTTATTGCCCCAGATCTTTCCCTCAAACAGATTCGAACTCCAGCGTCTTGATGGAAAAGCAGTAAGATGTTTTTTTTAACATAATGTCACCGTATATATTTACTACTGTTTATATATAATCGAAGAAATACAACTATACAATCAATATTTATTCATCAGCCCTATATTCTAATTACCGTATTAAAAGTATAAATCAATGGTAATTAAAATTTCATTATTTTGATAAAAAGACCTATCAAGTTTCTTTTTTAACATTAGTATTTTTATTGTTTAGTATAACAAATTCTATGCATTGTCCTTCTTAATGGTGTCTTTTCCCTTCTATTTGACTATGCACCATATACAATATATGTAACCATCTAAAGTTACAGGACATAACTATTACATCAATTCATTTCGCTAATGTACATTACATCATTTAGAACAAAAGTTATAAAGTGAGGGCTTTTGTTATTGGTTTTTTTTACATTAGTATGCATCTAGAAATTTTCAACCAAAAATAAAAATGAAAAAGTACCATTGTTAACTAACAATGTATCTACCATAGTGTAAACTTACAATGTTACAGTTTTATTCTTTATACATTGAAATTTTAGTTCATCAATGTAAATCGTTTATATTAATGAATTAAAACACTTGTCTTTACACTGGGTCGTCACTTCCTGTACTGTTGCGTTGTTAAATGATTTTTTTTTATTCGAAGTACAGCCTCCTACATTAGTACGGCATGATTTGTTACCCACATATTCAGTGCTTTCAGATTACTCTCAGTTGTTTTCTAAAGTGCTCTCCTCCAACTGATTTTTATTTTTTGAGTCTTATTTATGATCTTTTGTTGTTCTACTGAGTGAGATTAAAAGAGTGATTGTTGAGATCTAGAATTTAAAAGTTCAATCCAGTCGTATGTGCATGTGCCTGGTCAAAATAATTTCGTCATTGGTTGTCTTATGTTATGTTTAAATGTTTTTGTCATTTTGAGATAATTCGGTGTTGAATGATTGTAGATCTTTATTATATATGTTCAATTAATTCAGAACTGTTTTTGACTTGGGCTTTTTAAAACTTGACATAATGTTTGGACACAGTCATGTAGATTGTTGAAGACCATCAAGATGTCATTTGGCTTCTTGTGTCGTATTTTTACCGTCTCATTATCGTATATCCCACATCTCATTAAAATTTTCAAAATCTTTCTTTAACCCCGCAATTTTGAGATCATCATAAAATAATGAAATGAAAAATAACTTTCCAGGCCTACAGTTTGTTGAATATTCATGACAGACTGAAAATAATTTCATAATTTTCCTCAACAGCAATTTTCGTAAAATCTCAAATCATTCACGAAAATGAAATTAAGTTCGCAATAATAAATCTACATGCAACTAGAATTCCTTATATGTAAGGGCAATATGATCTTTAACATTTCCATAGCAACAATATATTTCAGTTCCTACACTGACCTCCCTGAAAGCACAGTGCTGGATCCACAGACGTGATTTCGATAAACAGGAGACTTTTTATTCCGTTCAGTCATATGATATCAAGTTCATATAGAAAGGAAACACATCTTGAAAGCTTGTTACAAACAAGAGGGTATGCATTGCAGTCGTCATCTAGATTAATTGATTGGTTTATATAGCCTTTGATTAACACCAAGTTGCATATATTTGATGCATATTCAGGACGAGAACAAATTAACAGTAAATCTAATGGGAATGGTCTGCAAAGTGACTAGACCGGGGCTAATGGCTGACAATTTCGGACTATCAAAGGAAAAGAGCGTTTGTTTAATATGGATTGGAAGAAATCTATACTTCCTGCAAAGCTAAATGGACACCCTCTGAATTAGCTTAACCGCCAGACAGGGGAAGTACAAAAGCCATATTTCTATACCCCAGAAACCATATGTCTATACTCCCAAGACACCATATTTCTATACTCCCAAAAAAAATATATTTCTATACTCTCAAGAAACCATAACTATATACACCCAAGAAACCATATTTCTATACCCCCAAGAAACCATATTTGCATACCCTCAAGAATATTAGTACTGTTTTCATCAGAAAGATATCAATTCATAATGTGACTAAAAGAATGTATATAGAATTGCAAATGCTAAAAAGAGAATTTGATTAACTTTATGTTTTATTTTAACATTGATCATGAATACGAAATGAGTTTCATGCAAATTTGTATTTTTGTACCAGTCAAAAGATGTTTGTGGTGATGAAGTCTAGGGGAGTTCGGATTTTATTTGTTATTGTTCAAACCATAAAACATTCAAACTCTCATGGTTTCATTACGTCATGATGGTTTTTTTTATACCTGTAAAAATCTGTGTTTTAATTCATGTTTGATATATTGTTTAGCTTGTGCTACAGACGTTCTGATCAATTCAAATCTGAATAAATGATGATTTGTTTATTCAAACTGAAAATTTTCTTTCTTTATCGTGTAAACGACCGGATAAGTTATATTGACATTTCTTGGCGTGTTACACAATCACTACAGTTTTAGATCTTTCAGAACAGTTACTGCGCGATCAATATCAATATGTCAATTTATCACTTATATATTACATACTTATATTAGTATGATATTAAGGATAGCGTTGTTTTAAAAGATAGAGGAAAGTACAACCGAGATGAATTGTTTAATTCCTCTGATGAAGATGATGAGGGAGTGCAAAACCTACGATATACATACTCAAGACGAGAAAGCGCACTGCATGTGATATGCATATATCAATGTGTTGCAAATATCAATCTATTTATTGAAGCGAATACCAATATTTTGTTTAAATCATCATTCTTTCCAAATATGTGTGTCAAAAATCCTTTGATGTTTAATGTTAAGTGAAAATACCGTTTGTTGTTATATACAATACATATATTTTTTTTTCGTTTATTGTTTTGTGCATGAATCAGGCCGTTAGTTTTATATTTGTCAATTCTGGGCCTTTTTGAACTTGTTATGCAGTATGGGTTTTGCTCATTGTTGAAGGCCGTACGGTGACCTATAGTTGTTAATTCTACGTCATTTGGTCTCTGGTAGAGAGTTGTCTCATTGACCATCATACCATATCTCTTATTATTAGAAGTTATAGGTTTAGTCTATTTGGAAAAATAATCTTTCTAAAGAAAGAACTTCATCTATAAAATTATGTATATGACGGAAGCTAAAGTGAATAAGAATGCAAATATATGGGGGTTGTAATCTTTAACACGATAAATTCAGAAATAAATTCATCTAGAAGGCAATATTGGTTTTCAAAATTCTTTACCATAATCATGATTTAAGGTCTGTATAGTAAATTTCTATAGTAATGTAAGCGATCTAATATAATGCAAAAAAGGAAGCTTGTGAATATCATTTAATAATGTTTACAAATAAACCTTGTTATGAAGTCGCATTTCAAATTGCAAATAAGTCAGATAAATCCCCCTACAATATTAGAGGCAATGATTTCAAAAGTACAGTAACAACTTTTATCATTGTGCTTACAAGGGTAAACAGAAAGATTTAAAAAAACAATTCTTAAATGTGTACCTGTTTGATTTATACAAATGTAGCAATAAAAAGATTGATACCCTTTATATTAAATTCTTGCTAGTAGAAACATATTTTAACTAGAAAACCATATATATTTGATATATTTTAAAAATTCTATGATATATGTAACCCTGCTGTAAAGTTTCTAGTGATGACAGTGTGACATTTATTCAAATCAGAACTTCAGAAAGTCACATTTGTTTCATAGATATAAGAAGATGTGGTATGAGTGCCAATGAGACAACTCTCCATCCAAGTCACAATTTGTAAAAGTAAACCATTATAGGTCAAAGTACGGCCTTCAACACGGAGCTTTGGATCACTAGAACAGCAAGCTATAAAGGACCCCAAAAAAAGTTACTAGTGTAAAACCATTCAAACAAGAAAACCAACGGTCTAATCTATTTAAAAAACGAGAAACGAGAAACACTTATGAACCACATCAACAAACGACAACCACTGAACATTAGGTTCCTGACTTAGGACAGGTGCAAACAAATGCAGCGGGTTTAAACGTTTTAATAGGCACCAACCTTCACCCTACCTGAAATAATAGTGTAACATCACAACATAGAAAGACACACTATAAAATATCAATTGAAATGGCTTTACTCAATCAAAAGATATATCAACAAAAACAAGTGAACATACACTGAACGAATAAATTTGATCTATGACACAATGTAAATACATGAACATTTCTAAAGTTAGTGCTAAATATTGAATGCAAATGAAAAATAAATGTCATAGTTGTGTGTATTTTATTTATTTTGACTACGATTTCTGGGAACCATGTCAGTTTACATGCACGGAGGCATTCAATTTTATGTTTTTGATGATGATCATGGAATTATTGTTCTAATTGATATCCTTGAAAACAAAACAAACAACATCAATTGCCAGTATATTAGCACGTACGCATATAAAAGATATGTCAATATACTTGGCCAATTAAAAGAAATCTATGAATCAGGTTTTACATAACGGCTCTTGAATCAGACCGTAGGCATGTCTACAATTGCATGGTATCGATTTTGAAAGCTTTCAAATCTAAATGTTTTAATTAGGTTTCAATATTTTCAAAGTTTACTTAATTTTGCAGAGTGCAAATTATTCAGCGAGATCAGGAAAGTCAAACAAAACTGGGAGTGATTTAGACAGTGTTGATATTTCGCACTTAACGAAGCTTGACGAAGCTAAAAGAACGCCTACACCATTACCAACTGTAAATCCTAGAAACATAGAAAACAAGGAGACAAAAAGAAAACCATTAAATGCACCAAACAGCAAACAAAGACCAGGGGAACAACAACAATCTCTTGCACGGAACAATACTCAGGTAAATCAAATTATTATTTGTCATAGTTAGTGTGATCTGTTATACTTTTTGTGTTTTGTATTGATTTTTTAACCCCATTCACTCTCTCTCTCTCTCTCTCTCTCTCTCTCTCTGGACCAAAGGAGGACAATGTTTACAAATATTACCCAAAATATTGCCCAGTACAACAGACCACATCAACCACCAACACCTTACTCCTCTGAAAAAGGAGATGTACAAACAAAAAACAGCGAACAACACCTGTGGTGGGGTTTAACCAGTTTTTTTGTGCTCACAATGCTAAATACACAATTGTATTGCTATCCAGTTATTAATACTTATGGTCCTATATCGTGTTAATACGTATATTATTAATACTTATGGTCCTATGTCGTGTCAATACGTATATTTTGGCATTACACACGGTCATATACCTTTCTCTTAAAGACGTTTTTACACTAAATCAGCGGCGGTGTAGTATTCAAAATTTGAGTCTCTACAAATATGTTTTGTCATGTACTGCATAAACTTGCTCGTTACTATAGTATTTAAAAAAACAAGTTGTCTCTATTACTACCGGCAGGTTTAGAAAGATGATGTGTAGGAATAAAGATTGATTTTTTTTCTGCAATGGAGTAGACACTTTTACTTAAGCATTTTCTTTTAGAGAAAAGTAACCACTTCACGTAGAGCAAAAGACACATTTTAAGAGAGAGAAAAACCCGATCGTTTTTCAGGTTTACCAGGAACTGAATACAATACAGAAACTCAGGTGAACTTTGTGAAATTGAACGAATTGCTTAGCCAGTGTCCTTTGGAATCTTTCAAAACAAACCCAGGAAATTAAATAATTGATTTCAGTTGATACCTTTGTCTTAGTTGCATCATTCATTGATTTTCAAACTAATGTCGTGATTATTTTTGTAATTAGTGCTGTATTAAAAAACTATTTTAATGATACTACTCAATGATCAGACGTTCTATAGTTTTCCGGGTTATTTCATTAAATTTCAGCATTACAATATCAAAGATAACATCTAAAACTGAACAGAAACTGCTAAATATCAGATTCATTATTGAAGGCAAGCGATAAAACGTTACGGATAGATAACTATTATAATTTAATAGTATATGACTATGCATTTTAAAAATAAAAAAAAAAACAAAACAAAAGTACCATGAATTCTATTGAAGTTATTCACGCATGACATCTATGTCAAATTATACTCAATACTCTCAATTTAAGCTGCATAAAACATTAAAAAACTGTCTGTGTATTTTATCGATTGTTCATCAAATTTCCTTAACATCCATTGTTTGGTTAGTTGTCTTGCATGGCCTTATTTTTGTTCAATTGTTGAACAAATACATTTTAAAATTTTATCAGGTAAATCAGCTCAGATAGAGCACAGGCGGATGTCACAAACACAACTACGAAATGTGTATGCTCCTGATTTGTATGCATAAACGAAATCTATGAAGACCATATACATTCTGGTATAGCTAAGCCTTTTAAAAATTCGTTGAATTCGTTGTTTATATGTACACAAAATATAATATAATATTTTATATTTTCTTTGAATTTGACATTGTTCACGATCTTTTTCTGGCATTTTATGTATAAAATGATCAGTCGAATATGATCTGGATTGATAAACAGTGACCTAACTAATAAAAAGAGACTTTAACTTGAATATTATTTGATATTGCTGCGACCAACTTGTGTAATTTCTAAACTTATTGTCTTGTAGAATATGTCTCGCCATAACAACGACAACAGTAGACAGATTCTTCCTCCTGCTAGTAATCATAGTAATGGTGGTGGTTCTAAAAGTAGACAAACGGGAACAACAAACCATGGAGTATCCCTCCCACCAATTCAGAACAACAATAAAGTAACAAATAGGAATTCTGAATCAATTGATTTGTCAAGACAAACACATTCTCAGAACCAACAAAGAGAATACCTGAAACAAGACCCATATCATAAAAATAGAGGATACACGAATAATGATGACAATAATTACTACGATAGAAACAATAATTCAAGGTATTCCAACAAAGAAATGGACAACAAAAAGTATGCTAGAACAACAGACAAATCGCAAGAACATTCACCAAGGAGGTCAAGATCAAGCTCCCCAAAGAGAGGAAACAAAGGAACTATGGATAACAAATCACATAAAACAAACCAGTATGACATAGACCGACATGAATCGTCCAAACGACAAAAACAACGAAGCAGATCGACTAACCGCGAAAAAAGGCGACATAACAAATCTGGTGAGGTTGAATACAGAAATCGCAGTACATCAAGATACCGTGAAAGTAGACAAAGAAGTAAACCAAGGGAGGATAAGAAAACCAGAACATCGTCTCAAAAGCGTGAAAATAAACACAGAAGTCAGTCAAGTGATAGAAAATATACTCCACACAGTCAATCACATGATCGTGGAAGCAGACGTAGGAGTAAATCTAGAGATCGTGGTATTATAAGGCGAAGTAAATCTCGTAGTAATGACAGAAGAAAACGCTCTCGATCACGAGATCATCATAAGACAATACGACACAAGTCTAGGTCAACATCAAGACATAGCAAACGAGGAAAGTCTCGTTCTAAATCAAGACATAGTGAATATCACAGATATAGAAGTAAATCACGTGAGCGTAACGAACGTAGAAAACGCAAAGATGAATATTATCGGAGTGCTTCCGGGTCACCTCCAAGAGAACACAAAGATGAACACCATCATAGTAAGACTAAAACGATCAGCGTTTATAGTGATCATAGAAAAAAATCTTTATCAGATAGTACACTTAACAAAAGATCAAAACCTCGTGGTTTCAGTCATGGTAAATCAAGTAGGCCGTCTTCAGGTGAATACTTTACTGAGGAAAATAGAAAGTCAAAGCATTCATCGAGACATTTAAAATCAAAAACGCACGTTTATGATTCGGATTCTTGCACGAGTGAGTCAGATATTGAAATATCCAGCCTTTCACGAAAAGAAATTCAAAAGCGATTGGCGCGTTCTCAACAAAACATCAGGCTGTCGAAGTCTCATGCAAAAAATAAAAAATCAAAATTAAGACGCGGGTCTGTTTCAGATTCTGAACGTTCCTATAAATATAATATAATTTTGATTGATGAAAGTGATGATTCGGAAGAGGATCTGCCATCTAATCAGGCATTTTATGTTCGATCAAAATCACAACATGCTGTTCCATTTAAAGCCAGACGACATAAGCTAAAAGAGTATTATTCAGATATAGAATCTAACGATCGAAACAATACTAAAGCGGTTATATACAATGAACCTGATAAAGTAATCGTTGCTCCTAGAAATACGTTAGATGTACCAAGGACAATACAACACGTTCATACTGTTGGTACTAGTCAACCACACCAACCACAAAAAGAATTGTTCTATTTAGTTCCAGCCTCTCAACATACAGCAAACAGTCAATATAATCATGACAGTGCTTTATTTGACGCAGATGTTGGAAGACGAGTAGTTCACATGCCGCAGCCAATACAAAATAGCCGAAACGAACAACAACTTTACTTCTTAAATAGTGGCGATTCTGTTTACGGTCAAGAGCCTTTATATGATGAGTACAGACAACCGGCGCAACAAAAATATTATAATCAACATACAAATCATTACCGACACAAAAATAGAACGGTAAACGCAGAGCAGAAATTTTTGTACAGCCAGAATGCTTTACAAGCAGATTTATCAATAAATCAACAAAATGTCACAGTAAAAAGAAAACAAAATCAAATTAGTGAGGATAATTTAAATCAAAATCATAAACTTTCAATGCCAAAAACCACAGTAGAAGCGAATAGGCTCGTGCAGTCGTCGAGGATAACTCCTGATGGACAGAGTAACTCATCCAGTGGTCATACACCTTCCACATTTGATGAAAACGAATCAAGAATGTCGTCTAGAGATGATAATCGAGTTTCAACAGCAGAAAAGAGAAGGGCATTAAAACAATTAAATGATGTATCAAATTACAATATTGACTTAGCGTTGGGAAAGGCATCATTACATTCTCCTCCTATGACAGACGAAACTTTAATCAAGAAAATATTTAACGCAGAATTTCAGTCAGAAATGGATGATTATTTGCGTTCTTGATTTTAACGAATTCATATAAAAAATTTAAGCTTGTTTCCATGATTTCGAACCTTTTCTTGAAAACAAGCAGATATGAATGTGACAAATCGTCGTTGAATTAATACTTTTGAAATTCCAATATTTATTTGTCTTTTTATGTTTATATTTTATTCATATATGTCAGTTTACATCAACTGTTTCTGAATAAAATCCTGCTCAAATTTCTCTGACTTGTAACAGATTTAAAATAAATTCCAAGACCTTACATGTCACAAGTAACAGTTTTGGAAGCTACGATATATACTATGAATGATTAATCGATATACACATTTATAAGGATGATGTTTGGGTACTCAACAATGGGGGATGCTATATAATGATCATTTTAAGTTATGGAAAAAAAATGTAAAAACTGGGGACAAATATTTAAACAACTCTTTAGTGGGAGGTGCACAACTTCAAAAGTGTGGAAAATTCCTTGAACATTCAACTATCTGGGTTTCAAACTGCAAGCAAAATTCAATCCACAAAACTTGTACCGTCGTTTGAAAATTTTGCTGAAAAAAAATTATTGGATTACCAAGTCTGAGAATATCAATTCCATTTTAGCATGGGCACAACTTCAATTTTTGTGCAATCTTTCTTCGATGGTTCAAGGATTTGGTTTGAAAACTATAGTAGGAGTTGTATTACATAGGTTCCAACTATCCACAGTGAAAACTATAGTAGGAGTTGTATTACATAGGTTCCAACTATCCACAGTGAAAACTATAGTAGGAGTTGCATTACATAGGTTCCAACTATCCACAGTGAAAACTATAGTAGGAGTTGTATTACATAGGTTCCAACTATCCACAGTGAAAACTATAGTAGGAGTTGTATTACATAGGTTCCAACTATCCACAGTGAAAACTATAGTAGGAGTTGTATTACATAGGTTCCAACTATCCACAGTGAAAACTATAGTAGGAGTTGTATTACATAGGTTCCAACTATCCACAGTGAAAACTATAGTAGGAGTTGTATTACATAGGTTCCAACTATCCACAGTGAAAACTATAGTAGGAGTTGTATTACATAGGTTCCAACTATCCACAGTGAAAACTATAGTAGGAGTTGCATTACATAGGTTCCAACTATCCACAGTGAAAACTATAGTAGGAGTTGCATTACATAGGTTCCAACTATCCACAGTGAAAACTATAGTAGGAGTTGTATTACATAGGTTCCAACTATCCACAGTGAAAACTATAGTAGGAGCTGCATTACATAGGTTCCAACTATCCACAGTGAAAACTATAGTAGGAGTTGTATTACATAGGTTCCAACTATCCACAGTGAAAACTAAAGTAGGAGTTGCATTACATAGGTTCCAACTATCCACAGTATATCCGTCAACTCAACATCACAATATTATAATCTAGTTTTGCACGAAATGCAAACTGAAAACTTCGAGTAGCCTGTATGGCTCAGCGTACATTTTTCATAAGATTGATACAATGCAATAGGAATCTTTCCGATAATTTCTAGAAAAAAACAAATGCTTGAAATCATCATTCAAGGGCAAGACTTTTATTAGGAGTCATCCGATGATTTCTGTTATGCGCCTCTTCTGCTGATAGCTTGTGATTTTTTTAGATTCCCAATTTACTATATTGTCCGCAAAAACACAAAATGAGGAAAAAACGTCATTCAAAGGCAATAACTTCTAAGGAGTCAACTGACAATTTTGGCAAGGTTGATTTAGCTGTAGATATTGTCTTGTTGATACTTTGTGTACTCTTATAGTTTTTGAGGGAAAAAAAACACAAAAGGGTAAAAAAAATCGTCATTCAAGTGCAATCACTCCTATAAGGAGTTGACTGAAGATTTCGATCATGTTGATTTGTAAGTAGATCGTGTTCTGTTAATCCTTTTTTCTATTTATATATTTTTTGCAGAAACCCAAAATATGGGTCAAAATCGTCGCTCGAGGACAATAACTCCTTTAAGCAGTGGATGAACGCTTCCAACTATTTTGAATATTGTGTTGATCCTATCCTGCCGATAATTTTTGCTGTTTACAGTTTCTCTCTATTTATAAGTTTATGCAAAAACGCAACTATAGGTAAATTAAGGAGACAGTAACTGTAGACTACCGATTGTCAAATCTCGAGAATCGAGAAGGAAAAGACATATCAAAGTAACAAACAGAAACTGAGAGAATCGCATGAACTCAAAAAGAATCGAGAGTGGGTGAGTAAACAGGGTAAGCGTCTCCTGCTATGTATACATTACCCACAATGCAAATTCACACTCAGTTAAAGGAGTCGTCTTGAAATTTTGGCCATTTGACTTTTTTTATATTTATAATACAGTTTCCGCAATAACACATATAAGGAGTCGCCTGACGAATTCAGCCATGTTGACTTTTTGTTGATCTTGTCCTGTTGATCATTTTTGTCAGTTACAGTTTCTCTTTATTTTTTAAAACGTTTTCAAAATAACTATAGAAATTGTGCGAACAAAATTTAAAAAGGTCTGTCAAAGATAATAACTCTCATAAATAGTCGTCTGATAGTTTTGGTCAAAATAGACCGAGGTATATTTTGTCATTCTGAACATTTCTTCCCCTGTCAACTTTTCTCACAGTTTACAAGATAAAACACAAAACTTGCGTTTTACCCATGTTTTATTTTTAGCCTTGTCGGCTCTGTTGGTTGGCAGGCAGTGTCAACGGACACATTTTAAAACTAGATACCCCAAGTTAGCTGACTAGTTTCAGAGGACAATGTTTTGTAAACGATAACGGACGACGACGAACGACAAACGTCGGATACCAAGTGATGTGAAAATCTCACTTGGCCTTTGTTCCAGCTCAGCTAATAAAACGGCATTCAATTAAAAGAAAAAAGTAAAGTGACCGGAATTTATACAGAATGTAGTGATAGCGTACAACATCAACTGTTTGACCTATTAAGCACTTGGGGTTAATTGCAATTACTTTTTTTTTACTTTCATGTTACTTTTATTCGATAATTCGAAGGTTTCTATTGAAGTTTTCTAATGTTTCTATGCAAAATTTGTCATCCTTATTTTTCATTGTATTTGAAACAACCCATTTCCAACTTTTTTGTATAGATGAAATAACAAGCATAATTTAACTGAAATCTGATTTCATTTTATACTCTTTATCAAACAATCCATTTTCATTCACGTTGTTGTACATATGAGTTGAAAATTGATTTATCAATGTTTGCCACTTACGACACAAGCGCTTGACATTCACATATTGTTTATTTTAGTAAGTGCAATACTTGTACATTAAAGAAATAACACATTTTAAAGTATGATAGCATTTTTATCATTATACATACAATAAACGATCTGATCTACTTGAGTTTATACAATTCAATATTTTCTATTATAATGAATTTAACAAGATCTTTGGCTGTAATCTAGTGCATAAAAGGTCAATCTTTTTTATGGTACATTACACTGCAATCCATTTAAATATATGTATTGATACTTATGATTAGTATCATAAGACAGTGAAAGATAATTATGAAACAAACCAGAAAATGACACCAGCTTATCGTTTCCAATGTTTTTACATTATCAAATTAAGAACATTTATAAAAAGCATGACATTAACAACTTATCTTTGCAGTTTGTTCTTATGTTGTGCTGTTACAATATTATAAGGGATAACTGTTGAGCGCTCACAAACATGTTTATCCCCTCACTTTTTACATGTGCCTGTCCCAAGTCTAACTGTTGAGCGCTCACAAACATGTTTATCCCCTCACTTTCTACATGTGCCTGTCCCGAGTCTTACTGTTGAGCGCTCACAAACATGTTTATCCCCTCACTTTCTACATGTGCCTGTCCCAAGTCTAACTGTTGAGCGCTCACAAACATGTTTATCCCCTCACTTTCTACATGTGCCTGTCCCAAGTCTAACTGTTGAGCGCTCACAAACATGTTTATCCCCTCACTTTCTACATGTGCCTGTCCCGAGTCTTACTGTTGAGCGCTCACAAACATGTTTATCCCCTCAATTTCTACATGTGCCTGTCCCAAGTCTAACTGTTGAGCGCTCACAAACTTGTTTATCCCCTCACTTTCTACATGTGCCTGTCCCGAGTCTTACTGTTGAGCGCTCACAAACATGTTTATCCCCTCACTTTCTACATGTGCCTGTCCCAAGTCTAACTGTTGAGCGCTCACAAACATGTTTATCCCCTCACTTTCTACATGTGCCTGTCCCGAGTCTTACTGTTGAGCGCTCACAAACATGTTTATCCCCTCAATTTCTACATGTGCCTGTCCCAAGTCTAACTGTTGAGCGCTCACAAACATGTTTATCCCCTCACTTTTTACATGTGCCTGTCCCGAGTCTAACTGTTGAGCGCTCACAAACATGTTTATCCCCTCACTTTCTACATGTGCCTGTCCCGAGTCTAACTGTTGAGCGCTCACAAACATGTTTATCCCCTCACTTTCTACATGTGCCTGTCCCGAGTCTAACTGTTGAGCGCTGACAAACATGTCTATCCCCTCACTTTCTACATGTGCCTGTCCCGAGTCTAACTGTTGAGCGCTGACAAACATGTCTATCCCCTCACTTTCTACATGTGCCTGTCCCGAGTCTAACTGTTGAGCGCTCACAAACATGTTTATCCCCTCACTTTTTACATGTGCCTGTCCCAAGTCTAACTGTTGAGCGCTCACAAACATGTTTATCCCCTCACTTTCTACATGTGCCTGTCCCGAGTCTAACTGTTGAGCGCTCACAAACATGTTTATCCCCTCACTTTCTACATGTGCCTGTCCCGAGTCTAACTGTTGAGCGCTCACAAACATGTTTATCCCCTCACTTTCTACATGTGCCTGTCCCGAGTCTAACTGTTGAGCGCTCACAAACATGTTTATCCCCTCACTTTCTACATGTGCCTGTCCCGAGTCTAACTGTTGAGCGCTCACAAACATGTTTATCCCCTCACTTTCTACATGTGCCTGTCCCGAGTCTAACTGTTGAGCGCTGACAAACATGTTTATCCCCTCACTTTCTACATGTGCCTGTCCTAAGTCAGATCCCTGTAAATCAGTAGTTGTTCTTGGTTGCTGTCTATTATATCTGGGTTTTTTTATTTTGTTTTGTCACATATCAATACGTTAGGTTTGTTTTTCGCTTGAATTGTTTCCCATTTCGTCTTGTCGAGACATATATAGCTGACTATAC